CAGGTCTGGGTGCTTTGTCTCGTTTCAGATTAGAGACAGCTGTTGTAACCTGAGTTGGGGACGGATGTCTGGCGTTCATATCCCATTCAAGGAGGTGTTGGATGTTCTGTAGATTGAGTGCGGCTGTAAGCCAATTAAATTGCTCCTCAAAGTCTTGCATCTTTGTAGATGTATTGTATCAGTAAATTTATTTCTAAAGCCGTCGGCGTTTTTAATTGAATACAAAAATGTGCCTAATTGTAAGACTGAGAAAGCGATTGTGTTGATGAATTATGCTCTGAGCACCGAGGGCTTTGTAAGCATTTTAAATTTATATATGCATTTAGTTTTCATAGTGATTCCAGTTTTTTATGTGTGCATATAATATGTTTGAAAATCAGTAGTTTTCACACGTAATATCGACTAATGAACTTCCAGATATTTGTTAGTGACGGTACACGATTCGTTTATTATGCTCACCCTACATTAGCAGTTGTGTTTTTCACTTTATCTTGTCTATCTACTAAATCATTTTTAAGTAGTGTAATTTAGGAAAAATAAAAATAATGGCTGGCTTAATTGTAAGCATTCCTTTAATCCGAAACAGTGAACAAAAATCTTTTTCAGTCATTTGGCATACATACATGTCGCACTATCAAATTCTTATTATCATGAATATTATGGCTAATGAGGTATCAGTCGTCATCTGCATAAGGGTTATTTGCAATTATTTTTTATAATAATGGTCAGTCGCTCAAATGATGAGTGATGACTATATATGCCAGTAATTAAATAATTCTGTTACTTGACCTTACACTGATCAGTTCAAAGGGCAGTATTTCCTTTTCTCTAGGGACATTACTCGTTTTTAACACACAGAGGATCACTTGTAAGGAATTACGAGAAGACATTATTTTGTACATACAATATAAAGATCTAGTAGGGTTTATAAAATCTTATTTTCAAAAGAATGGATATTGAACAAAGAATACTCTTTTCGATAAATTCATCATCAGGCTCTACAGTTATATATACATTATAGTGAATCAGTTAGTGTTATGAACAACATTAATACTGTTTAAATATTATCGAATCAATAATATTGATAGAATACAGCTGAATCGCATCAACATAAAATAAGCTGAATATCAGAATAATTAGAAAAGATAATATTACAAATTCATGAGTTTATAGTTTCTACTGAAGGTCAGGGCAATGGTAGGGGCTGGACTTGCTTCTTTTGAACACAGAGCGCTGGTTGTTTGAGGCGAATAGCAATAGCCTCTGCTGTTTGGAGCATGTGGTGCTTCGATGATTTTGGCAATTTATTTGGCATCCGGTAGATGATAGAGAAGAATTTTTCCACGCTGGGTTTGTAGCCTGTTTGCACCAGATGGTCCAATATTGAGCTGTTAATGGTTTTCACTACACCCTTACTTAGCCGTGCTGGGAGATGTTCTCGAGTGAGCGCGAAAAATCAAGTTTCTAGAGCAACGGCCAATATAACTGGCTCCACAAGCGTAGTTGAATTGATAGATACAATTTGAAGTGGCTAGTCTAGGTACTTCATCTTTCAGTCGAGGAATCACCATCGGTCGTATAGAGAATAGTACGTATGGCCTGCCAGCAGTAAAAGTTCTTTGAACTAATTTTCTTAATTTCTTCGCAATTATCTCGCTTGGTATATCGCCCATGAATTGTAGTCGTATATAAACAGGCTTCCTTTTTACAGATAGTGAGTAATTCTTTTCCGTTTTCTTTGTCATGTGTTTCTTGATAAATTTTTCGGGATAGCCATTTTCGATCAAAGTATCGTATACAATGCCTAATTCATATTCAATTACTTCTTCTGAGCATATAGCTCTAACTCTGTGGCTGAGGGTCTTCACTAAATTTCTTTTATACTTGAAAGGAACGAAGCTGTGAAAATGTGTATATTGTCCCGTCCAAGTGCTTTTTCTATGCAAATTTCATTTTATGCTACCATCTGGTTTTCTTATAAGTAGGACATCCAGGAAGGTAATTCTGTTTTGGGATTCCTGTTCGCATGTGAATTTCATAACCGAATGTACTTCATTGAATTCAATAATTATTGTACTCTTATCAGAACCGTTATCACAAAGAATAAAGGTATCATCCATATATCGGCAATAAAATGAGAGCTTACTGATAAGGTTGTTCAGAGGTCCATTTTCTCGCTTACTTGCCAATGGGGAGCCCATTGCCACCCCGTCCACTTGCCTGTAAAGCATGCCGTTAGTTTTGAAATTTACATTCATGGTACATCTTAATATCAATTCTTTTAGGATCTCAGTATGTATGTCAATGTTTATTGACAGCTTGTCCACTTGTTCACCTATGTAATTAACTGTTTCTTTTAGAGGTGCATTTGTAAATAACGATGTTATGTCTAAAGATATCATGGTTTTGTCCCTGACATTAACATCTTTTATTTTGTCTACGAATTCAAATACATCTTTGACGCTATATTTCACTATCTTCTCATGTAATGGTTTGAGAATATTTACTAAGCATCTAGCTAGAGCATGGTAGGGCGAATTTTGCATATCAAGTATTGGTCTTAATCTTATTTATTGTTTTGTAATAGATTTTCATTATGATCAAAGAGTTTGGCTTTAGGTAACAAGTCAAACTCCACTCTGTACATTTCCCATAGCCTACTGAGAATTGACTGCAGATAGAAAGCTTTCGGTATTTCATTTCGTTCCAGTATTTTTACGACAATGATCCATGTATTCCATACTGTGGAGGATAAAAACAGCAAACTAAATTGACAATTAGAGCAAAAAATAAAATGAATATACCTTGCTTCACATATTTCATTCATCACTTTGTTGTACTAGTTTACACTTGTGCTATCACATATCCAGATCGCAGAGATCATGGATCTATCGCTGGATTCAGAAGACTAAGCTTAATACGTAGAATACTATGCACTGTAACCGACGCAGAACAACAGAAAACGGTTGGGCAACACTATTATTAACTCATCAAACGATAACGAAACAGATCTAAAATGGTTAATCAGCGCTAAAGTCCGTAAATAAACGTTAGTATAATATACAACACTACTTGTGATCGTGTTTCTCCAATCTTCTGCCAACCAGGACACAATTCAGCAATAACAATCTTCTTGTCTTCCATTAGTGGAGACCAATGCGAATAAAAAAAAAACTATTCAATTTCCACTGAGATCGACAAGTGTCATTAGCAAAGGCAGTAGTTTAAATTTATGGATACATTTTGTTTTTATTACTACTAATCACTTCTCATAGGTAACATTCACCTTAGCTGCATAACTTGTAATCCTTTTGGTATGAGTGATAAAGCTTTCAAGAAGTAATAAATGTTTAGTGTTTTTCTCAAGTATTGGTTATACTTTGTGAGTATTTCAACTTTTACTTCTTGAAGACAAATTTATAGGCATTTTTTAAATCGTGGAAAACACCCACCGGCACATTAGAGAGAAAAAGAAACAAGAAGTTCTACAAAGATATCCTCTCGGCGATTTCATTGTCAAAAGCAGCTGTGCAATCGCATTTATATACATAATTATTATACATATACGATTATTATTTAATTCTACATACTAACGAATGAGATTAAGGGTTATAATAATTTTCAACTTGACACATATTCAAATTTTAATATCAAGCTGAAAATTATTATGACCTTTAATCGGCTTCGTTACTATGGGGGATTAAATAATAATTGTATCTATGTAATAATTATGTATATAAATGCGATTTTACAACTCTTTAGAATGAAATCGCCTAGAGGATATCTTTGCTGAACTTCTTGTTCTTTTTTTTTCTAATGTGCCGATGGGTATTTTTCACAATTTAAAGTGAATGCAATGACCCTTAGATAATAAGGGAACTCAATGGGTTTCTGCGTTACTCTGTCCAAACTTTGAAAATTGTTTTAAGAATCATCAACTTTATAGGCTTCATTTTTAATGTTCCTTTCATTTCTGTTTTCATCCTGTGATTGGGTGTCCTTTTTGGCTCATTGTTGTAGGATAAATTCTTCGTTAGTAATCTTTATATCTATTCGTAAAATATGTGAATGTTCTTATCATTGAATTTCAAGATGGCTGTCAGCAAGTAATATCTTTGAAATACGGACTCATTGTATTTATTGTAATGAAATAAATAAATCTATGTTTCCAAAGTATATTTCATCGCAAAGCTAAGTCGTTGTTGAACCACTGAAACATATGGAGCTATGGACAACCCTTTTATCCTGGTTTCGGTTTATATATATATATATATATATATATATATATATCTGTCTGTCTGTATGTCTGTTTTCCACGTAGAACTTTGCACAAGGAGTGGATGCATCTGCGCCACTGAGAACGATTTTGAGCCATATCACCAATTGTTTCCAACCATTGGTTTTTACCGTCCCGAGGACCCCAACCAGCCAGCTAGTCTACACCTCCCTACGTGGCTTAGACTAACTGTTGTGGATTTCATTGACTGATGCCATGTTTTGGTTTGACCGCCGCTGGCTAGCTCTTTTCCAGCCTGACCCTATATCAGCTAACATTGCCCATTGTCCAGGAAGGCGACGACTAGTCATGTATGCGTAACACATCTCCTAACCATCTCAGTCTATGTAATTTCACGGTCTCATCGATTGATTTCCCCTCCTTACCTAGAACTCGACCGATGCCTAACGTCAATATTGCTCACCTTATTATCCTACTTCACACGGGAGATGGACTCAGGCACCTATGATCAAAGACAGCTAGCCAGTCTTTTCATGTCTTCCAATCTCAGTGGTTTATATATATACACTTGAAAACTCAACCAACAAGTTTTAGTCAAACGATTTAAGATTGCAGTCACAAGGTATATATTATAAACTGTCTAATCTAAAGTTAATTGTACTCTCTCTGTCTATGCTTCTGTGTGGATTACTTTTCTTCCTTTTGTAAAATATTATTTAGGCTTTCCTTTTATTTATTTATTTACTTTTTTCTTCTGTTTCAGTCATGTACGCGTTCTCATCCAGACATTCCAAAAAAGAATAAAAAGTCATCATCCTCATCACAAAGTAGTCCTACACGTCCTTTCATGAAAATGATGCAAAAACGTATACTGCCTACGGACACTAGAAATCCTAAATGGGTAAGATAAGATGAATTACTCAAATAAAATAAAGTAGAATTAATTTTCACGTGAGATTTTATTTTATTGCATTTTTTTCTCCTTAAACAGTAGAATGACAATTAAGAAAATCTTGATTTGATTAAAAATTCTACACGCTTTTTGTTTGTCTAAAGACGTAGGGGACTAAATCATTTGGAGGCATTGTCTACTACTACTACTACTACTACTACTAGAACAAGATTGCTTATGTTGTATGCATGCTTTGAATTCCTCCTAACTCCAACCCTAACCCCAATGGCCCTCCTTTCCCACCCCATCCCCCTCTTCATCTCGGACCAACTTTTATTGTAAAATTCACCTTGTAATGTTCTTACTCCATTCTTCTTTTTTTTCTTTTTAGTTAGCTTTTAATTAATGAAATGTTACTACATTCAGTTTTATTTAGCCAGTTGTAAAAGAAATGACTTAGCTCACAACAACAACAACAAAAGCAATGACTAAAACTCAGTGCTAAATTGATGTACTCTACTTACTTGCTTACTTACTTACTTACTATATCAGATAGAGATTTTTTTGAATGAATATTTTAGGATTGTCAATTGAAAACTGCTGGACAGTTAATTAGTTAGTTATAATCTGCTTTAGATTTCTGTGATGATTAAAATTATATATATATATATATATTAATGTATTTGTGAACAGTTTTTCTGTTTGTTAGCAAAGTTTTAAAGATGACATTAAAGATGATACGCCTACTCTAAATGTGTAGTTAGGTTGATATGTAAGTTAGCAAGATAACAAACAGTTTCCCCTGTTGTTGTTGTGCATCGAATCAGAATTTGTTACTGCTATTAGTGAACACTTTTATATGCGCAGTTAGTTAATCTCGTCTTTCTTTTGTTCATCATATTTACAAAATTTTTAACTTGACTGATAATGTGATGCGATTTATTCACTGTTGTTTATATATGTTGTCGCTTACTTTATGACAGTGTTGATGTTATGTGTATAAATTACTTTTATGTCACAGTTTAATGTCACTTTACCGAAACTGTAGTCTTTGTAAAAATAAATATTTAAGCGAATGCTGCATAAAATGAATGAATGAATGCTATTCATCATAATGATAAGGTGGGGGGAAGGAGTAGAAGGAAGAGGAGAAGTATGATGGTAATCATCATCAAGAAGACATTAGAACAACAATTCTTGCTCTTTCTCTTGTCTTAATCCGTTAATCATTTTTGTTTATCTTTATTATACTAACAGAGTTGCCTTCTGGGATTGACTGGAAAGTGATTTGTGTGGGAGTTTTTTTTCTTTTTTTAAATAATGTTTTCAATGAAAGTACTTTTCTTTCGGATAAATTTGATTACTACTTACGTTGATGATGATAATGATGACTATGATTATGATTATGATGATGAGTTTTCATTTTCAGGTAAGCATGATATCCCTTTTGCAGTCAGCAAATTAACAGACCATTTGGCTATCGAAATAGAAAAGCTTGGGTTTTGTATACAAAGAACGTTTGTTCAACCATTCTTTCCATGGACCTAATCCTTAAAAAGTTTTGAAGACCCCAAACAATCTGCATATAGACAGGGGGTAGGAGCTCTTTAGACGCTGCAGCCGTCGTCTTACACAACAGTATCGTCTCTTCCATTAGATAAAGGTGCCAAATACGTTCGCTGCACGTTTCTTGACTTCACTTCTGCTTTTCATTATGTACCTAGATGTCTCGTGCTAAATACGCTCTCGATGACACAAACTGGTCGCATTCCAACTTCTCAAACAGAAGGCAGTACACTGTATACAAAGGTCAATCCGCCTATGTTGTGTTCACTGAAGCTGGTGTTCTCCAAGCTAATGTACTCTCCCCACTTCTCTTTTCTTTCTTCCTTTCTTTCTACATGACTTACCATCTTCAAATGACATTAATTTTGTTAAATATGCTGACTGCCTAACTGTATCTTTGCCTGTCAAATGTCAAAGTGACTACTCCAAACTAAATGGCTTTTTAACAGAAAGCATCCAGTGGTCCAAGGAAAACGGTCTCACCGTAAACCCCTCCAAATGCTAAACAGTTAATTTCACCCTTAGGCACAAATCTGACCTAAACAAACTGGTTAGAAGTCACGAGGTGTGCAACATAGATGGCACTGAAATAGAAACCAAGTTGGAAATTAAATATCTAGGCGTCATTCTATCTTCTGATCTTTCCTGGTTGTCTCATCTCTTGATGATTTCTAAGAAAATATTCCCTCTTACCTTCTACATCAAGAAGTTAAGACATTCTGGAATAACCCAACCCTTACTCCTACGATTCGTTAACTCCCGTATTCTTCCTATTATTTTCTATTGTTCCCCCACAGTTTTTCCAGGGCCAGCTACTGAAGAAAGACTATACCTTATTACGTAGGATGTTAAAGGGTGTCAGCAGGGTAAGCCACAGGGTGCCACTTAACCAGCTTGTTAATATTCTGGACTCACGTGAAAAATGGGCTAAATCCATTTTATCTAACTCACAACACCCTCTTCATTCACAACTCTCCCCTTGTATCATCTCATCAGGGAAAACCAGAAGCCTATATAGGAAACTATATACTCTCATTAGGAAGTACAAAACTCAACCATACCCTACTTAGCTCGTGTTCTGTGCGATAAAGAAAGCATTAGGCGTGATACCTATAACATATTAAAGAGTCAGTAGAACAACTGGATCTCGTCTTTCCAACACATATCATTTATAGGTACAACGTTTTTCTTCCTTTCTTTTACTTTTCTCTCTTTTCTTTTGTGTTGTTATGTGCAGCTTTGTTTCTCTCTTCCTTACAAACTCTATTTAAAACATTCTTCTTAGTTCTTTTACACTCCGTATATCCTTTTTGTTACCGCTTACGTCAGTAAATATGTCAGCATCTACTTTTCTAACACCTTCAAACACTGTTCATTTTTTGGCTTTACTACCGACATGCCAATATGTTGTCAAAACTAACTGAGTTTACACTTAATCCATGTAGAATTTTTGGTTACAGTTCATGTCATAACTGGATGCAATACTGTAATAAAATGCTGAGGATTCCATTCTGTATCACAAGTACTGTTTTGGAATAAAGCAAATTATTATTATTTTTATTATGCTAAACTATTGTAATCCTCGTTTCTGCTTTGGCCCTATGTAGTTTTCGTTTTGTTTATCCAATCTGTATATCTGTCTCTTATTATTTTGATCGTTACCATTATTGTTATTATTATTTTTACTTTAATGAACAATATCTTGATATATGTGTAAAACTTGGGCACTGTGGTAGTAAGTAATTCCATATAGTTTTATAAAATTTCAAAGTCGTGTGATCAAATTTGATATGATTATGAACAATAAATTGTGTTCGAAGCCTTGTCATCCAGTATATAATACTGTTTCACTGTGTGATACATCTAATAAACAAACTAATTTGGAATGAACAATATCTGGTAGTGTCTTTCATGTCACCTTTATTTATTTTATTTAATATCATTCTTTGCAATGTTGCCTTATCATAATTATCACCTTGTTGTTTAATGTCTTAATTGTATGCGAATCTTGTTAATTCTACAACCTCTTCTAAGAGTTTCTTCGCTAAATTAGTTGTCTTAATTTTATATATATATATATATATATGTTCTAATGAGTATTTCCCATGAAGTTAGTTGACAGTTGGTTCATCTCCTTAGTTTGCATGCAGAGTACTTTAAATCTACAAGACCGAGCATTTCAGTCCAATCAATCGACGGTAAAATCTAAAAATTCAATTCAGTTAATATGACCCATTGTACAAGAGGTGGCTCTCGTGGTCCAAGTGGTCTAGTGGATAACGCTTTGGCTGGTGTTTGAAACTATGGTCACTGGGTTCGAGCCTCGGTGGGAACATCATCACTCACTGGCTGGGAAATGCAGGTACATCCAGTAGATGACGAATCATAGATGGGACGAAATGTACTTTATCCTGGATTCCACTGCTAGTCACCATCCACCAATTAAAGATTATATCTTCGCTTACAAATAAGCGTTCACTGGTATATCAAGAATCTTGTCTTCAAGGTATTCTAGATTACATGTCAAAGTGATTTGTAAAACCAAATTATGTTCACAAGTCAAAATGGCTACTACAGTTGACTTGGTAATCTGACTCCCATCAATAAAATGGCCAGAAACTTGATAGAATGTATGTATGTGAATATCTAGGTTGATATATACATTGTTGTTTTATATTGCAACGGTAGAAGACGAAAGATTTGGTAATAGGATGTCTATTGGAATTTGGCATCTCTATATGGCCAAATTATGTACACGTAATCTTCAATCCTCCATCTGCACAGATCTTCTGCGTTGTACTACTTATGGCCTCCATATTGCCTGTGCTTTATTGTGTTCCTTTCACGTCTCGCGTGTATCTCCACAACTCTGTATCATTTGCTTTCTCTGTTATTTGACGTTTTTATGACGATGAACGTCTGTTTATACACTACTGATATATCTTGTCAGTAGCACACGCAGCAATAATCACATCTGCAATTAATAGTGTTCTCTGAGATAGTTGGTTTGGTTGCTCAGCTTTCGTCGTCCCCCTTCTCGACAACATCCCCATTCAGCGCAATATTCAGCATAAGGGGAAATGATTTAAATTTTTCTTCATGAGTGATATAATTGCGCCTCCTGGTAACCATCTTTAGATGTGTATTGACCACTTTCTATTCACTTGGATTTTAAACTTTCTGGTCAACTGATTTACTTTTTATTAGTTGGTATATTTCGTCTATATTAACGTGTTTGTTAATTGCATTTTCGTTTGAGTACCAGGCTTCTAGGAATTCTCTGGCACTTTTGGTGTTTCCTCTGTCTGAGATTTTGACGTTATCCCAATGAAATTGATGTCCATAATTGTCTATATGCATTGATACTAAAGAATATATATCATATCTCACGGCTGATTTTTGTTCTTGGATTCTAATTCGAAGGGGACGCCCAATTTGGCCGACTTGATGCTTGTTGCAGTTCATACAATTTATATTGTAGATGGTGTTAATTTTATCTGCTTTGTCTATCGGATCTTTTGGTTTGCATAATATCGAATTAAGCGATTTGACTGGTTTGTGTGCTATATCTATATCAAACGGTTTCATAGTTCTAGCTGTTATTTCAGAGATATTTCTCATGTATGGTAGGATGATTTTTCTTACGGTCTTTGATGATGATTCCTTGTTGGTGTTTTGATTCGAATTTAAACACTTTTCAATGAAATTTTGTGGATAACCATCATCAAAGTCCACAAGAAAATTCATCCTACCATACATGAGAAATATCTCTGAAATAACAGCTAGAACTATGAAACCGTTTGATATAGATGTAGCACACAAACCAGTCAAATCGCTTAATTCGATATTATGCAAACCAAAAGATTCAAAAGAAAAAGGGGATCAAATTAATACCATTTACAAAATAAATTGTATGAACTGTAACAGGCATTACATCGGCCAAAGTGGGTTGACCCCTTCGAATTATAATCCAAGAACACAAATCAGCCGTGAAAAGAAACCAGAAAGTTTAAAATCCAAGTGAATAGAAAGAGGTCAATACATATGTAAAGATGGTTACCAGGAGGCGCAATTATATCACTCATGAAGAAAAATTTAAATCATTTCACTTTATGCTGAATATTGCGCTGAATGGGGATGTTGTCGAGAAGGGGGACGACGAAAGCTGAGCAAATAAACCAACCATCTCAGAGAACACTGTTAATTGCAAATCATCCACCTGAGCTACAAATCTTCTCTATTATATGAATAATCACATCTCCTCGTCCATAGATTTATCATTATCATTAATATTCGCAGCCTAATCAGAAAAAGATTGAATTTTCCTAATATGAAGTCTAAACCTACCTGAATTGTCAATTTACGTTAAAATAATACATTTTTAAAGTGATATACGTGCGAAAACAAGAAAAACGTTTTTATAATTTTTTGGACTATAACTTTTATTTCTTTAGAAATTTCGAGCACATTTTTAAAACTGAATTATACTCTTCTCTCTTTATTGTTCATTTTACATTGTGGCATCATTATACATCTACTTATGCATGTGTAGTTGGTAAGTTTTAGTCACGAATATTTGGTTTCTTTCTTCTTTTTCTCTTCTCTAACTCATCTATTTCTTGTGGTCTATAACTCCACGTTACGTAACTTCGCATCTATGTCTTTTGCTATACGTTTTCTGTGAAGAAAAAAAAACAACATTTACTTTGCCTCCACACAAAGTATCTTTTCCTCTCTTTCTTTGGCCTGCTTACTGAATTACTAAGGTAAAAGTATGAAAGAAGTCTACAATTTTCTTTTCGGCGTCCTGATGGCTACGTCATTCATTCGTATATTAGCTCGTAAGAGATCTATGCGCGTCTACACGCATGTGTATTAATACTGTTGAGTTTATACTATTGAATCGTTTCGTTTTGATTTTCAACTGTTGCTTTTGCGTCTTATCGCTGATTATTTTCATTTTTTATTGTGACCATTTTGTACAAAAAATTCGTAATTTAGTGGGATATTGACGAATTCATTACAAATGTTATGTTTTTTTTTGGTTTGTAAATTATTTACATTTACCGTAGTTAGGGGAAGTTAGTTATGCAGTTGGAAAAAGTGACAGTCTTGAATAAGTATAATAGTGTACAAAGCAGCAAGTTGTGCGTATGACACTTTTATGGGCTTCAAGTTGCCTTTCATTGAAATATGACCCTTTTTTGAATAAATGAATGAATGTTGTGTAGTATTGTGTTTGGGATAAGTGTCGTTACGAATCAATTTGTGTTAGGCGGGGACTGAATCACACACACAGTGTTGAAGTGTTGTCTACTTCTGGTTTGAGATCTATCGACAGTCTTCAGGAGAAAGTCTGCACCAGCTTGACAATAGATTCATCTGATTTGAAAATAAGTATTTTACTATTCAACTTAACATACTACATTTGTAAAGAAATTATATTTGTAAAATCTCAGCGATATTGAAATGAGTAATTCCAACGTTTCATTCGGAAATCTGGTCCGAACTTCTTCAGGAAAATTAATCGAAATTAACATAACAGAGGTTTATATATAAAAGGAACATCTCTTGTTTTTAAAAACTTTGTTCAATCATGAGTCATAAAACGAGTATTAACAAGTATAATAAACAAAACTGTACGAGTTGTGATCAAAATTTGACCTCAGACTTACAAATATTGATCTACCTTTGTTAAACACTTTAAACACAGTGTGTATGTGCGCAGATAAACAGTTGTAAAACAAGGTCTTAACGTCTCCATAAGTAGATATAGACAGTCGGGAACTTTGACCAAGTATTGTTAGTTAGTGATACATATCCATTCTTATTTATTAATCGGGATTTCCTATGCGTCATCTAACATCACACCTTCATGTGTGTTCACACTGCTAGTAACTAGAATTTTATGATTGGACGTATTTTCAAAATTATGGTGTTTAGGATTACAGTTTAGTTGAAGCACCCTGTCAAACTTATTACTTTGTCTTCTTTCTGAAAATTGAGCTGCTTTATTCGACCTACTGGAGTTGTCAGGTGACTGGACAGCTACGGATTTTGGATACGCATTCTGTTGCAGACAACGGAGAGTGGAAACACGATGATTGTGCCAATTACATAGTTTCTTTGTTAATTTAATTCGATTGGAAAATAAATCAAATCTTGACTACAGTTCATTTGATTTAACATACTACTTTTACTGTCATCACAAATTGTATACAATTTCCTTAATATCGACTCTCAAGATGACATATTTTATAAGGATCTTTTATTTGTTTAACCCAATTACTTATTTTTATTTTTGATTACAGCTTGATTCCACACCGTATTTTTGGTACAAGTATGGAATTTTCAGCATGGATATCGGTAGCCCAAATTTCGCAGGCCGACCATAGATATCAAGGTGTGCGTCGGCGTGGGCTCGAACCCCGAACCATGTGCATGGTCGGCGAGAGTCCTAACCACTGTGCCACCGACGTACATTATTTACCGGCGTTGCCTGATCAGATTTACATGTAAAACCAACTTGAACGGTTACTCTTATTAAAGGGACCATAACAACTTATCAGACTTATATTAACGTGTTTATAAGTCATATCTTGTCCACTGACACAGGATCAACAACTCGCAACTCAATTAATTAGATTGACTGGAAATGACCAACTCCATTCAAAGTGAATTTTCTTACTTATCCACCGATATCAATCACTTTGCTGTTTAAAACAAGAGTTGCCATTCCTTTTGTTTGATTGTGCCAACGTGATTATCCATGACCTTGGAAGTCAATTAACCAAATGTGCACACACACTGAATGCACACACTGTGCAAGGTGCATCTCTACCCTCGATGATGGAGATGTTCTTGTTGTAACTAAAGTCCATCGTAAATATTATAATTAAAGTGTTCAGGTGAATATTAACCTTCGTTCGAGATAAGTGGTGCATATGAATTTGTTGTCATATGATAATCGATTTTGATCGACAAACCATTGATAGTTGACGGATTTGTTTTAATTTGATGATTTAGATTCCTTATTGCTGGCGTTGTCTTGCGCATATTTGACATTATTTTTGTAAAAGTAAAATAAACAATGATAGTAGTGATGGTGATAATAATAATATTAATGACGACATGCATGTCAAACATGCACACGAGAATGATAACATCAACAGTAGGGAATATACTCATCAGTAGTACTTCCATACAAAGAAGGAACCTCAGAAGCCTTACGCAGAATTTTTAACAATGCTGGCAGGTATAAAAGTGACTGGCATTCAAACCCACAAACTCAATTAGATACAAGCTTTGTCGGTTAAAGGATCAGTCCTGTGGAGCCTTTAAAACAAAACAATTTGGTTGATCTAATACCCTGCGGGAGTGATTGTCAGGTCAAACTAGTAGAACAGAGACAGTCAGACCAACCGAACATAAAAACCTAGCAAAATCTAGATTAGTTGGATCGAATAAGATAAGAAATCTAGAGAATAGTTCAGCTATAGCACTACATGCAGTCACACACAACCATACAATAGGATGAGATAGGATGACATTTTTAAAATCTGATGTCACAGGGTTGAAGGAGAGATTGATTGTTTATCAAATCAACTGCAAATACATGTAACAGGAATGATTCCACACCTGTCCAGGCGGATATCTGGAAAATTCTACTACCTCTACGACAAACAGGAGAGGACAAAGAAAACTACAAAACTCAAGTTTCAAAGTCGTGTGATTATAATTGATGATATGATTATGAACAGTAAATTTTGTTCGAATCATCATCCAGTAAATAATACTATTTCACTGTGTGATATATCTAATAAACAAACTAATATGGAATTTAATAGTCTTCCTTTTAAAGTGATTGCAAATATCCTCATAAACAAAATTGTGGGATATGCTTATATGGTTTTATGGAAACGGCAATTTATTGGCCTTTTGAGAATTTGACTAATTTTATCGGTAGGACTTCATTCTGAATTTCACATTAGACGGAGCTACTTGAAAATCTTAGAAACACTGGACACCTGTTTTTTCTTATTTTAAGCATATTTCGAAGTTCTAAGCCACGACTTAAGGGGCGGGGATTAACCCAGATTACGAAACTAGTGTACACTGCCTTTTTCTCCCTCTCTACACAATGGTTATTCTGCTTATTTAAGTTCCTCAATCATCCTTTTGACGTAGTTTTTACTGTGATTTCATTCATGTAGAGCTTCTTAATCAACAGTTGGTTCGAAAAACTGAAGGTAAATATCTAGTTATTATTTATACAATCAGCATGTTCATTACTAATTAGCGACTTTTTTGTAGTAGTTTAAGTCTCATATTTTCACACATTCGAATAATGAATTTAGGTTGGAGTAGGTTAATTTAGTCACTAAAGGTTAATTCGTTAGCTTCATACTCCGAAGATGTTGATTTTGATTTCCTTTGAGGATATATTTGTGCCATCTGATGATTAGCTCTGAACTATGAGACAAGACAAGCTTTCATTACTCTTCAGTCTGTGTGGAAGTCAACAGCACTCAGCATGAAAGTGAAAATAAGATTCGGATTTTCAACTCCAATGTGAAGTCAGTGCTACTCACTACACGTATCAGAGACTTGGTGCGTCATAAAGAGCATCTCCAACAAACTTCAAGCCTTCATTAACAGTTGTCTTTGCTCAATAGTCAAGATCAGATGGCCGGCCAGAAAAGATCAGAAACAGGGATCTCTGGGAATGAGCAAACCAACCCAGCAGGAATCGATTGTGAAACAAATAGACAGGAAGAAATGGAGATGGATTGGCTGGCCATACTCTGAGGAAACCATCGAGTGACATCACTAGGCAAGCCATTGCTCGAGTGAAACCCGAAAGGGAGGCAGCGAGTTGGTCGTCAGTGCAAGGGTGACTTGGAGGAAGGTGATGTGAAGAGGAAACGAAAGCATGTGGGCAGACTTGGAGCGGAGTGAAAAAGTTGGCAGAAAACAGAAGGCAATGGAGATGCGCAGCTGAAGCCCTATGTTCCTCTAGGAATTAAAGCATACAATAATAATAATGAGAGAACATTTATCCAATATTTATTGGATTTCAATGCTTCTTTAACTGATTACGGATCATAGTATAATCTGCTTTCAGATATACATTCTATCCATGTATCTGTTTACTGTTTGCTTAATTCTGTTTTATATTTTGTCTAGTCAATAGTCTCAGTCTGTTGTTGTTGTTGTTGTTATGGATGTTTCAACATCATATCAACTTTTCACCTATTCCAGTCGTCTTTCGAATTCGTTTCCATCCCAATTAATTATTTTTGCTTTGATTCTTTGAGTGAGACTAAGCAAATAAATTATGAGGCTTGTGTTTATTCTTTATGTTAAGCTATCTGATATTTAATGTATTCCGGTTTTCTTTTCTTTTTCTTCTCTCCCTCTCTCTCTCTTTCTCTATGATATATCAACAACAATTGGATTATCAATGTATATATTGAAGCGGCAAATTAAACGCAGAGAGAAATACGAACAACGCATTGAAGAGGTGAGTAGTGGGACGATTGTTTCTCAATATCTACATGTCTGTATTTGTCTGTGTTTGTTATTATTATTATTTTTGTTTTGTGTGTGTCTGCTAATCTTAACACTAGAATAACTCTAAATAGTAGGAAATGATGATTAAAAACTGGATTAATAATGAAGACTGTGATTTCCGTTTATTAGAAAGAAAAATATTTCTCCAGTGTTTTGGTTACTGTGTTTTTCTGATCCCTAGGTATTATTACTATTTTACTTTATTCCTTTACGCTCCAAGTGGAGAGTCGAGGGCTTCAAGCTAGGCATTTGGAGTTTCGGTAGCAGCAGTTCTTATTCTCACGAGGTGGAGTTGCTAGTCTCCTTCCCATCCTCCTCTCTTTACCTTTGATAATGATAATGATAATAGCTTTTTATTCCAAAACAGTATTTGCTATACAGAATGGAATTCTCAGCATTTCACTACAGTATTGCATCCAGTTAGTAAATTAATGATAAAATAAAATTCTGCATACATCAAGGGTAATCTTGGTTAGTTTTGATAACAACATATTAGCATGTCGGTAGCAAAGCCGAAATTAAACACATTTTCTGGCGTAAGCAGAAGAAAGAAACAAAGCTGCACATAACAGTAAAAAGAGAGAGAGAGAGAAAAGCAAAAGAAAGGAAGAAAAACGTTGTACCTATAAATGATATGTGTTGGAAAGACGAGATCCAGTTGTTCTACTGACTCTTTAATATGTTATAGGTATCACGCCTAATGCTTTCTTTATCGCACAGAACACGAGCTAAGTAGGGTATGGTTGAGTTTTTGTACTTCCTAATGAGAGTATATAGTTTCCTATATAGGCTTCTGGTTTTCCCTGATGAGATGATACAAGGGGAGAGTTGTGAATGAAGAGGGTGTTGTGAGTTAGATAAAATGGATTTAGCCCATTTTTCACGTGAGTCCAGAATATTAACAGAATTGACCAGAATATTAACAAGCTGGTTAAGTGGCACCCTGTGGCTTACCCTGCTGACACCCTTTAACATCCTGCGTAATAAGGTATAGTCTTTCTTCAGTAGCCGGCCCTGGAAAAACTGTGGTGGAACAATAGAAAATAATAGGCAGAATACGGGAGTTAACGAATCGTAGGAGTAAGGGTTGGGTTATTCCAGAATATCTTAACTTCTTGATGTAGAAGGTAAGAGGGAATGTTTTCTTAGAAATCATCAAGAGATGAGACGACCAGGAAAGATCAGAAGGTAGAATGACGCCTAGATATTTAATTTCCAACTTGGTTTCTATTTCAGTGCCATCTATGTTGCACACCTCGTGACTTCTAACCAGTTTGTTTAGGTCAGATTAGTGCCTAAGGGTGAAATTAACTGTTTAGCATTTGGAGGGGTTTACGGTGAGACCGTTTTCCTTGGACCACTGGCTGCTTTCTGTTAAAAAGCCATTTAGTTTGGAGTAGTCACTTTGACATTTGACAGGCAAAGATACAGTTAGGCAGTCAGCATATTTAACAAAATTAATGTCATTTGAAGATGGTAAGTCATGTAGAAGGAAAGGAAGAAAGAAAAGAAAAGTGGGGAAAGTACTACTGGCTAAACGAGGTTGAGGAGTGCGTCGACGATAGGTAAGCAGAAACGTGTTGTTTATTAGTTGATATAATCTTTTATACTATTACTACTGCTTCTTTATTAAGATTAGTTACTGCAATTGTAGGAATAGGCGTCCTCAATTTGTTCAATGAGAAATTGATGACTTCTATATAGACAAGCGATTGTTTCACGAAGTGTATTCGTTGATACGTAGTACCTGGTTTTTCACTTTCATTTTTACTGTATTGGTTCATGCCATTATTGAAAATTAAAACAGGTGATTCAGCAAAGAGACTCTTTTCAACGAATTTATGATGAAGCTATACAATCGTATATATATATATATGGTTTTTTAAGAAGTTATATCTGTTGTGAATGCATAAAATAATAATAATCATAATAGTATAAAATGCAATTAAAACTAAGATATTTGTGATTATAATCGTAGTTCAATGTCAAGTGGCAAAGCAAATTAATGTTATATGTAGAATAATTCATAGGATGGATAGAACTTGAAAATGGGTGTGCAATTATCGGATTAGTAGACAAATCGAATAAAACAAAAGCGTTACGTAATATTGTGTGAAATGTAATAGCATAGAATTTATCGTTGTAAAAAAGAATTGATTTAGAATGACAAGTGGAACAAGTGAAATAATACCGGGGACAGTTCAAAGTAAGATTAGTAATATTGATAATTGACGTAATAAAGGGAGAGAATTCAAATTGAATAGACAAAATGAAAAATTAGTAAAGCCAAAATATGATTGGGGATTACCATATTTTAGCATAGAGGGATTAAGACCATGAAAGCTGGAGGGGTTGAACGGACTTCTCCTGTACACAGAGATCTGGCTTTTCTGTTTCGATAGCCAAAGCTTCAGCAATACAGATGAGTCGGGTACGTAGGGATTTGGGTAAATTACTCTTTGCCTTGTAGATGACTTTAAAGGCGGAGGCTATAGAGATCGGGTGATCATTATCGACCATATGTTCAATGATCGTGCTTCTTATTTCTCCACTTCCACCTCTTCGTAGCCATGCAGGATAGTGTTCTTGCACGCTCTTGGACAAAACTCGAGTCGAACGACCGATATACCTAGCTCCATACGAGCAGGTGAATTGATAAACAGACGTAGAGTTGTTCGACAGCGGGATCTTGTCCTTTAGGTTACTGAACAGTAATGATTGACTAGTAAAGGCTATTCTCAGAGATGCAGCAGGGAATGTTCTTTTCAGGGACTGTGATATCCTTCTTTTTATGATATCGGAAGCTAAGTCCCCTTTGAATTCCAAGCTTATGTACAGTATTTTCTTGGGTGCGGATGATAAGTCACGTTTTATAGGATTTGAATGTATATTCTTGTTTATAAAACGTGGTGGAAATCCATTTTCCATTAGGATTTTCCTTAAAATGATTTTCCTCATCTTCCACAGTATCAGGGCTACATATGTACCGAATGCGAGTGGCAAGCGACCGGACGTGGTTTCGTTTTCGACCAATGGGTACCCAGCTGTAGAAATTTGTCAGTTAATCATTCTAGAACATTCTGGAAACGTGAAAGAATAAAATAAAGCAAAAATAAATAGGTTAACAGTGTTTTTCTTTGATTTGAGGAATTCGAAAGAACTCAACACTAAACTGTAATACCTGCTATTCTGATCGAAGTGGTCTCAACCCCGAATGACCGTTTCTGTAGTTTAAGGCTGTTCCTGTGATGGTTTAAAGCAGCTCAGTTAGCTAAATCACCGCATACCACTTAAATTCTGGTTCGGCAAAAATTATTTTCTTAACTTTATCGTCAAATAAGAAATACGTTCAAATGTTTTCAGTAACCTATAGTAAGCAAAGTTGAGTACATAGTCTGTATCCCCAGCATATACATCTGAACTATATGGATCACTGTCTGATATTCGATTAAGTTTTAAGTCTGTTTGTTTGTTTGTTTCATTGTACTTTTCTGTCTTATTTTTCATCTGAATATCTTGAAGATCAAATAAGTGATTGGTTACAGGATTTCATCATGAGCTGACATTGGTTAGAGAACCATTGGAAAACCTCGGAGTACTGGACAACTGCTTCATCCTAGTTTGGGACTCTTCAGCAGCACGCACCCACAGGGGTTCAACATCCAGGACCTTCCGGTTACCAGACAAGCTGTTAGACTATTAAGTCACTGGAACCTGGTCCAATAGTGCGAAAATTCTAGCTTCTTTCAATTCACGACATAGCCCGACCACTAGCAAAAGTCATCGACGAGTATTTGTTCTCACACTCGACCTGCTGTAGCCCACCGGTCACGACTTCTCACTAAAAGCCTAGGTAACTACCTACCTGAATAGGGCCAGTTTCTAGTGAACATCCCATTGTAGAGATTTGATTGGTTGGTTAGAGGATTTCATCACGAGCTGATATCGGTTAGAGAACCATTGGAAAACCTGGAAGCACTGGTCAGCTATTTCGCCTTCCAGTTTGTGACTCTTCATCAGTATACACCCACCTCAACTGGGTTTGAACCCAGGGCATTCTGGTTACAGGGTGATCTTGCCTTCTTATTCAGTCAATTTTTAGCTTCATATTGTAAAATATGGAATTTTCACCTGAAATTGTTTATAAAATAAAAGAAATATAAAATTAAGGTGGATATTAGTACTTCGTGTCGTAGGCGTTGTAGTAAAAGTATTCCCCAAAAATGTTACTGTTAGAAAAAGATTATCGTTAAAGTGTCTTTGCCAGAGTACATGACGAAGAAAATTACAACAAGGACAGACAAGTATGAATGTTAATAATATTTTCATCATCCTTATATTGTTTCTCTTCATTGGAACTTTTGAATTACTTGTGCTTTCTTTACTATCGACGCCAAAAATATTTTCGTTTTCTTTTCAACTCTATTTTCCTGTCATTCACCACTAAAATATTATTATTATTATTATTATTATTATTATTATTATTATTATTATTATGACCGGGGTTATTATTCTCTTTCTCCTGTTAACACCCTCTCTTTGTTTCTAAAGCGATGTTATGGTTGCTTTTTCTGTTGTTTTGAAATTGACGTATATACTTTTGGTGGTGTTTTCTAATAATATAAATTGACTAATACATCTCAATACAATTTATATAGTCAATTATTACGTATCATATTAGGTAAGCTATAGGATAGAAAACGAAAACAGAATTTATTACACACACACACACACTGTCATCATAGCTACACCTTTGTTCCAAAACACTTTTAATCTGTGAGAGAGAAAAAACAATTGTCGTTCAGATAAAAATAAATAACTTTGATAATAACTCTTGTTCAGTAATGGTCAGGAAAGAGATTGGCTTTTATTTTTATTTGTTGTTGTTGTTGTTGTCGTCGTCTTATTTGCGTGATTTTTTTTCCATTGCCCCGTTAAGCATCGAAATGA